ATGTCTAGGCGAGTGCGCAGTCTAGTGCCTGTTAGCATAGCTCTCCCGTTGGTTTTATGGCCTGTGTGCCTATCTAGTTGTAGAACTTTTGAGACTTTGGATAGTTGTAAACAATGCAGATATTGCCGTAGCGTTCAACCTTGTTGGTGAACGTGGCATAACACCCCATGACTTGGATTTATGTTTATCCAGTTATCGTTTAGTCTTCCGCTGTGTTTCTTGTTTAGTTGTGTTATTTGCATGTTTTAAGGCTTTCAAATAGCCCGTTTTTAGGGGGTGTTACAGTTGGTATCAGAGCCTAGGTTTTGAGCATAGGATGTTAAAAGTCTAGACTTTCTAAGTGGCTAAGAATGGTTTGAGACTTTAAGGTGACCTTAAGAATCTAAGTGTTAGGCTTAGGACTTTAGGACGCGCGGTGAAGTTGTGATTTCTTGTATCGTTTTCTGTTGTGTTTTCTGTGCTTTGTTTTCCTTTTTGCTCTGGTTCTCTTTAGTTAAGGCACCAGGTAAGGGTGCGGGCCCTAAGTTTCCTACCGTTATCGTGCTGTTGCTGTTGAAGTCGAGGATGGCTTCATCGAGACGTTGTGCAAGGTCTTCAGAAGCAGTCACCAGTGAACAGTTAGCTCAAAGTCTCCATCAACTGACACAGATCACCCAGACGCTGAGCAAGGCCCTCCTCAACAACCACCCTCTTCAGAATGGGAATCGTGACATAGTTCGTCAAGTCGCAAGTCTCCGTCCCCCGATCTTCGCCGGTGAAGAAGATTCCGCAGTGCTGGACGAGTGGATCTGGATGTTTGACAAGATCTTCGAAGTTGTGGTATGCCCAGAGAATCGCAAGGTGAAGTTGGCTACGTTCTACCTTCGGCAAGAAGCGGACTCGTGGTGGATGCTTGAAAGGCCAACTTGTAGACAAGATCCGGAGTTCAGTTGGGAAGACCTGAAGGTTAAGTTACGCGAGCGGTTCCATCCTGCTCGTTTCAAGGAGGCCTACCTTTGTGCAACCGACCCCTACTGAGTCCAGCAAGTTCAGAAAGGAATCCGGGAGAGCCGTAAGAGGAAGTTTGATGGAAGCGTTTCACCTGTGGTTAGGAGTTTGGCGGCTACTAGTGTTGGATCAACAAGAAGCCTGCAAAGAGATGACTCTAAGAGAGGTAAGGCTCCCCAGCCAATCCGGAAGATTAAGGCTAAGGGAAGGCGCTCCGTTTGCAAGAAGTGTGGAAGTGACCACCCCGGCGTCGTCTGTCTCGGGAAACCGATAGAGTGCTTTGTTTGTGGCAAGAAAGGCCACCGTCCTTTGAGTGCAGGGCTAAGAGGAAGACTTCGACGGACTCAACAACAACCTCAGCAAGGCAAGATCAACAGTTGTGAGACAGATGCAAGTGGGAACCGTGGAAGTAAGTTTTGTACCATTTTGTTGCACCTCCCTTCGTCTTTGTGCCTTTCCTGCGTGTTAGCTTCAGGCATTAGCTTGTTTGAGTGTTGCCTTGACCCTCGTAAATCTCTTCATTCCTTTAGACAAACCCAATCGCCCTTTTTGTCAAATGATCCTTTTCTTCCGAACCTTGTTCTTGTGTTCTTTCCAAACCATCTTGTGCAAGGCAGCGGTGACATCAGCTTATGAAGGATCCGACAAGATCTAAGAGTTAAACCGCGTCCGAGTCGAAGTAGAGAGCCTTCAGTTCGTCATTAGTGCAGTGATCGAAGCGTCACGTCGAAGAAGTAGCCTGAAGTCGAGAATCCTTAACCCTCTTTAAGCCGTCTTTCTATCATCTTCTTGTCAAACCAATTATCTCTTTCCGAGAAATCTTCCCTACCTCTTCGAGCGTCGTTCTCGTTTCCTTCTTAATTCGATTCTATACAAGATGACAACCTCGTTTTCCTAAGTTGTAATCTTGAAAATCTTGATTTCCTTCTTAACCTACGTTATTCTTGAGCCTAAATCTAGTACCCTTCATTAGGAAATCTTCATTATCCTTTCAAACCTCGTTCTTGTTCCCTCCTTGATTTGATTCTGTTCAAGGTTACGACCTCATCTTTCCTAAGTTGTGACTTTGAAAATCTTGATTCCCTTCCTAATTATTGCTATCCTTGAGCTCAAATCGGATACCCTCCGTGAGGAAATTCTTTCAATCCCTAAAACCCCATTTTGATTCCTTGCTCCTTGAGTTATAGCCTTGTTTACAATCCTCTTCTTCTTAATCAACATGGTCCTCGAACTGTTGAACCTAAACTCTTACCTTGATCGTCCCTCTGAATCGAACCACGTTTTTGTTTTCCCCGCTTCTAATGATTCTGTGCAAGGTGGCAACCTTATTTCCTAAGTTGCAACTTTGATGACTTTGATCCAACTCCTAAGTAACGTGGTCCTTGTGTTTCTGAACCTTAAAACCTTTCACTCTAATCCTTACCGTTGAACCGCATCACTTCTTGTGAGCCTTCTTTCCCCTGAGATACCTTTCTCCTTTGTTATCGTTCCTGTTTGAACCTTTCGTCTGGACCGGAGTTTTGGAGTTTCAAGCGTTGCTTTGTAGAGAGTTGGAAGTGGTGTGCTAATGCAAGTTTTAAGTCGGTAGCCTGCATCAAGTTCACCCTAGAGCCGTAGAGAAGGACATCCAACTCGTGTTTTTGATCTAGCAGTTGCAGCCTTTGTCGGAAGTGACGAATCAAGTTCAAGCAGATGCCGAGCTCAAGCTAAGTAGTGGAGGTACCTTGTTTCCTTTGGTTGAAGAAGCCAGCAGAGATCAGTTGAAGATGCAACCCTGGTTCTATGATCCCGAGTGATCTAGTTTAGAGTTCTTGTGGTGTCAGTTTCTGTTTGTGGCTTGTACCTTAGCTGAGTCGTCCCGTTTTGAGTAGATCGTTGGCTAGTTTAAGCAGGAGTTTGGCTCGGTGTGAAGTTAGCTTTCCTTTCCGGTAAATCTTTTAGCTATCACCTTATCTTTCTTTCTTGTCTTACCTTTGTGAACCCTCAACCTATCTCTAAGTCTTGTCTCTCGTTTTGTTAACCGACGGTTTTGGTGTTGAATTTCGTTGTGACCAAGCCTATTAATCTTACTACCTTACTTTAAACCCTTGTTTCCTCTAACCTTGGTTAGTTGTCGAGCACCTTTATTGCTTAAAACTTCGTTTTCAACCCATCTCTTAAGCTTTGCCATCCGTTTCGCAAGCCGACCGTTTTCGTTGTGGAACCTTGTTGCGTCCCTTGCTTTTTTTGTTAGTAGGTTCGTTGGTAGTTGTATCCTCAGTTGTGCGTTTAGTCGTTCCCTCTTGTTTGCCGTGGTTGTTAGCTTGTAGTTTGAGTAGTTGGTTTAATTGCTTTGCTTTTATGAAGACGCCGTCCGTCGCAGTTAACCAGAGGTTGGACCAGCTTGAGGCCAGTTCTAGCCGAGGAAGAGTCTGATGAAGAATCCGAGGAGTCGGAGAGCGAGTCCTTCTAGTGTGAAGCTGTGGCTATCTTGTTCGTCCTTAGTAGTTGCATCTTCTTAGCTGTTGTCGCCGTCTGTAGGTTGTTTGTTGTTCGCTTTTGTGCTTGTTTTGCTTGTCGCCTTGTTGTTTAGTTAGCTTAGTAGTTGGTGCTTTGTGTTGGTTGTTTAGTTCTTAGTGGTTGGCTAGAAGTCGGTGTTTGTGTTGAGGCTAGAGTTCTTGATGCTCAATCTATCCGTTTGCTAAACTCTTGCCAATCCTTGATTTGAAACGCCTTCTTCCTTGCTTTGGGATACTTCATTGCCTTAGAATTTTGTAGAATCTTTTGGAGTTTTTGACCAAAAGAGTTTGTTCTTGAACCTCTTGTCATAATGTTGTTTCCTTTCACCGTTTGCCTTTAATTCGTCATACCCAAGCTTCGGGGACGAAGCTTCTTTGAAGGGGGAGAGGATGTGACACCCCGAAATCCAAATTCATTTGAGGGATTAATTAAGTAATTAATCATAATTCAATTGGTGAATTAATTCCTAAAATCCTGAAAATTCAATACTTGGGGACTAGTAATTGACTAATCAACCCCAAAGTCAAAGTTGTACATTGAGCTTTGTAAGGAGTTCCCTTGTTCCTTACACTTCCCTTGTGATAGTAAGGGTATTCTTGACCTTTCACTTGTTGTTGGTAATGTAACCTAACCTAGTAGACCACTTCATTCTATCCTTACACTTTTCTAAAAATCTAGCTCCACCCTCTCTCTAAAAGGTGAGTAGCTTTTCTTCCAAGCCAAGTTGGAACCTTGACAAAACTTCAAGAGTTGCTTCCAAGATTCAATCTTTCTTATATTTGGGCATCTAGGAGGGTAAGATCTAAGTTCATCTTGTGTTTTTGGTTTTATCTAAGGTGTCTTTTCTTAAAGATAGAATCTTTATGATCTTTTGGTGTGTTCTTGAAGTGGGTTTGGAAGGTGAGCCTAGTGAGGAGCTTGTTGAGGTGTAAAGTGAAGTCTTTAGTCTACAAGAGGTAACCCATGCTCTACAAAATCTATTTTGCTTACCTATATGTGATTTCTTGGATTCTACATGTGTTTTGCTATGAAATGTGAGTGTTGATGCATGATCTTGTGAAAATGCATATCTAGAGCTTGTGTTTAGGGTTCTTGTGTGTCATTGCTCGGCATTTCCTTTGATTCAAGTCATTTTGTTGTATTTGGTGAGATTTGGCATGTTTTGGACTTGAATTTGAGTTTGGAGAAGAAAATCCGCGAAGTGTTGAATTGTGGTACAGGGGTGTACCCGCGGGCGGAACGGCGGGTAGGGGTCCAACCCGCCGCCCACCCGCGGGGTACAATGGCCGGGAAGCCTGTACCCGCGGGTAGAGACCTACCCGTGGGCCTACCCCGGGTACCCGCGGGTACGTGATGTTGGTTGTTGGCGGATTTGTTCCCCGTGATTCTTTTGACTCGGTATTTGGTCTTTTGACTTCCCGATGTTCTTTTGTGGAACTATTTGAGCGTCTTCTTGATGTTTCGTATGTCTAGAAATATATGGTAGGTATCCATGTAGGTTTTGGTGTCTTGAATCATTCTAAGTGTTCAACATTGTGTTTCGTTGAACTGTGATGAGTCTTGTGTGTTCTTCGGAACTGCTTTCGGTTTACCCGTTTGATAAGCATGCTAGTTCGGTGTTTAAATGCTAGCATGTGTGTTGTTTGTACCTTCTTATGGGTTGATGATAACTTGTGTTATTCATCGTTGTTGTTGTTGGACTGTGATCCATTCCTTGATTGAGTATGGTTTCATATCTTCGTTGTGATCCGTTGATTGATTCCTGTCGTGGTGTGATGTGTTTGTGGCTTTACCTGGATTGCACGATTAGTGGTATGGGACACTAGTCACCAAGGTATTGCAGCGGTCCTCGTGGTGGCCGTGACGCGATTATGTTGTTTGTGGCCTTTGTGTAAGGTTCACGTGTTTATTTCTGGGATAACAGGTGTTATCCAGGGCATGTGTTGCCATGTGTGATTGGTATCCTCGTGTACTATGAAATTGGTGGTTTTGTTGGAGGGACTGTTGGAGGGGGAACGACGGTTCCCGGAGGAATAAGGTTGGACTTGGCGTACAGGGGTCCTGGATGTATAGGTTGGAACTAGACATAAGGTTGGGGGTAGACATAAGGTTGGAACCGAGCATAAGGAAGGCATATCAACTCGTGATGAGTGATCTCATGAGGGCTTGTGTAGCCGTGGTTGTGTGTTCTCTTCTTGTGACGTGTGTAGTCACAAAGGCATGTGTTGCCATCGGTCTTGTCTTTATCCTTTGTGGTTTGGATGTGTTCCCGTATCCTTGTTGAGAGTGTTGAGTCTTGTGTTGACTGTTGATCTTGGTTTTGTACTTATATACTTATGTATTCCGTTTCGAAAATGGCTTTATAACTTATATCTTACTTATGTATGATATTTCACATGTGTTGGTGGGTTACCAGCATTATTCGCTGACCGGACGTCGTCCCATGTTTTATTGTGTTCTTTCAGGTGATGTCTAGGCGAGTGCGCAGTCTAGTGCCTGTTAGCATAGCTCTCCCGTTGGTTTTATGGCCTGTGTGCCTATCTAGTTGTAGATCTTTTGAGACTTTGGATAGTTGTAAACAATGCAGATATTGCCGTAGCGTTCAACCTTGTTGTTGAACGTGGCATAACACCCCATGACTTGGATTTATGTTTATCCAGTTATCGTTTAGTCTGCCGCTGTGTTTGTTGTTTAGTTATGTTATCTGCATGTTTTACGCCTTTCAAATGGCCTATTTTTAGGGGGTGTTACAGATTGCCTCGTTAAAAACCTTAACTTAAGAAAATCTCGTGGAAAAAACTTAGTTAAGGGAAAAAGTGTACAACCATAAGCCTTCAAGGCATAAACTTCAGGATTTTGGGATTTGTCTATTTAAGTATTTGCCTTCAAGGCATAATCTTCAGGATTTTGGGGTTTGTCTATTTAAGTATTTTTATATAACTCCCCCATTAATATATGATATATCATACTCATACCTCGTTAAAAACAACACTAGAAAAACCCATTGGGAAAAACCTAGTGAGGAAAAGAGTACATGGTTTGTATATGCTGCAAAAAGTATTACTAACTATTAGTCCTTTTAAGACCCAATCTACAGGATTGACTTGAGTGAATGTACTTCATGTCTCCCCCTTATGATAACAATCTTCAAATTCTACATTGCTTAAAGTAAAATCATTGATTCAAAAGGGTGTAGAGAAGGGATATGGTACAACCTTCAGGATTGTCATTTATAATTTATCATATTTTCCCATGATCATCTGGACCAATAACATTATTTATAGTTTATATTTTGTTTCTCCCCCTAAATATAATAATTTTCTTTACCTACGCATATCAACCCTATGGATATTTTGTAGGGTATACATTTGCTGACTTGTCACTGGAGCAAATCTTCTAGACAAATATTTTATCACTCTTCTGGAGTTCATGTGGATCAAGGTATTTTATATCATGAAAAACTATACACGTTTTTATTTGTCCCAAGTATGATGACTTCATGTCAAAATGCATCAATATGAATATTTATACCTTGATTTGCTATTCATTATCTCATCTCATAACTTAACAGTCACTATGACAAAGCGAGAGCATAGTAAAGTAATGATGAGACGAAAATATACAAAGTACATCTATAAGAACAAGTATTATCCTTTAGGCTTAAGATGCTTTAAAGCTTAAATTGATTTATAATATATCAATCCAAGTCATGGTATTTAACATAATGCCAATATTCAAATATCTTCTCGAAAGACGTATTTTATACCCTAAGGATATTAATGGATATCATTTCCTTTTCTTTCTAGGAGAATCACCAAATCACTCTTTACAAATTACAAAAATAAGATGCGAATTTGGAAATTTTCGATCTCAAAGAAAAGGTATTAAAAAATGACGTTTTGAAGCAGCAGACTTCTGGTCCTGAATTATCCTCTTAGGTTAAAAAGGTCATTTATCAACTTCGAGAGATTATTTGGACATAGACTAATTAGTGTGTAAAATTCCTTTTAAGGAAATGCTCGATCTACAGGTCGAGATAGTACTTGATTTTCCATCTCCTTTATTTTACAATAAGCCCCTTAATAAGTACCTAATAGTACATATTCATTTCTATAATTTCCTATTTTCAATCAATTACTTTACTATTTTAAGTTAAGTAAAGCATTTGTACTTCAACAACAAACATGTTGTGATATTTTCTTTCTTTCATTTTTGAGAATTATAAATCCACAAAGGATTTTTCAGATAAACATTAGTGTCTAATGACCCATAATATCTAGGTCATGACTTTAATAAGCTGCATATCTTAATTTATTATTCTGCCAATTTTGTAGCGGAACTTTTAATAATAGTCATTATGGGAGAGTATATTAGAATCATTTTTTTTAGGGTCTCTGCGTGAACCATTGTGCTACAAACTCGCTTTATATTATACCACCTCATCATTCTTATTTTCCTTCCACACCATTTGTAACCTACAGGGTTAATACCTCAATGGTGTACGAAAGGAATATATTAGCGAGTTAAGCTATATATGCCTTTAATTGCTCTCTTTATACGTTAATCAATCTAGGCGCTTCTGGCACCTAGTTCTGGATCCAAATTGTCATATAATATGAGCAATTTGAAGGTAATTGTGTTGTCGACAACTTATAACATTTTTCAAAAATTTCTCCCATATATGTAAAAGTAAGGGAAAATAACATCCCCCCCCCCCCCCCCCCCGAGTTATATACTTATAGCAATTTTTTCCCCTGAATTATTCAAGTAGCTATTTTTCCCCTTGAAATATTAAATGGACATATTTACCCTTAAAATAAATATTTCATTTATTTTTCTTCTCCAAAAAATTATGACCACGATTCGGTTCGAACCAAACAGACACTATAGCAACTAAACTGAAATATTTCAATTACAATTAAGAATCGAAACCTGATATTTAGATTTTATTAAAATCGCGAACCGAAACGGCCGGTTCATGTTCCGAACAGAAAAAAAAAATACATTTATTGTTGAATTTAGACTATTTTAAAAATAAAAAAATAAAATTTTAAAATAAAAACGGTTCAAAATCGCGAACCGGATCCGGAACCGCCGGTTCATGGTTCCAATTTTTTGGATTCATGATTTTAATAAATTGAAATCCAAATATTGGGTTCTAAATCTGAATCATAACTGGAAACTTTCAATTTGATTGCTATAGTGTCTGGTCCAGTTCGAACCGAACCGTGGTCATCCCTACGTATAAGTAATAATTTGTTGGAGAAGAAAAATAAATAAAATGTTTACTTTAAGGGTAGAAATGTCAATGTAATATATCAGGGGGAAAAACTGCCACTTTTAGAATAATTGAGGGGGGCTAATGTACTTACATGAATAACTCAGGAGGAAAATTTGCTATAAACATATAATTCAGGGGGAAAAAGGGTCACTTTCCCTAAATGTAATTTTCGAAGTTAACCAGATTATAGTCATTTTCCAATGATATTTATATCTGGTTGTTCTGCAACCCAGTATTATGATTATTTGGTGCACCTATAAATTACTGGGTTTTCTCGTCGTCTGGACGATTGTCTTAAAGATATTACTTTTTAAGATTTTTCAAGAGCTCTAAGATTTTCAAGAGTGACAAAGATTATTTACTAGATCTAGTTGTTTGTGGATTCTTTATTTTTCTATACCAGGGAATCTCCCGCACTTCTGGCGTCAAGGAGTATCGATATATATATATGGTCCAATTTTGTAGAATGTGTATAGGACCTAGTCACACTTTTTATGAAATAGATTTATTTGGTAGATTTCTTTCTGAACTTCCAGTTCAATCTAATTGGTACGTGCATTTAATTTTTGAAGATCATTTCGTTTCATAAAATTTCTCGGCATTCAATTTAAATTTTGATCATATCTCCCCCTAATGCCGCGAACCTATCTTCATGCAGTCAGCGTATCCATCGCAACACTCTCAGGGGATTTAAATATTGGAGACAACATATGGAGGTTTAGATGGATACACTATGGTGGTTATGTAATAGATTCGTGTTGATAACGTGTTTTGATTTGTTGTGTCGTTGGCCATTAGTTCCTAACCGATGAACTTTGCATACAATAGAATGAACATGAAATTGATAATACAGAGAAGAGATAAAATTAGAGACAGGGGAAATCACCAGATCTACTTTACTCAATCCATCCTTACTTGTTTATAATAATACATCCTCCCAAATGCTCTGTCGGGTCGGGTGTGGGGGGCCCTTAGGGTTGGGTTCAACCTTTTGAAAGAATGTTTATAATAATACAATAAAAAGGAAGGAAGTAAATAGGATGACCGTTATAAATTATCACCATAAATGGTCATTGTGACACCCCGTAAATCCAAATTCTATTTAAGGATTAATTAAGTAATTAATCCTAGCTTAATTGATAATATATTCCTAAAATCCTGAAAATTCAATAGTCGGAGGACTAGTAATTGACTAGTCAATCCAAGTCAATGCGTTGTACCCTATGCTTCATGAATTGTTCCCTTGTCTCCTTAAACTTTCCCACTTTAGTAAGGGTAAAGAATACTTTTTACCTTATGTTTGTATCCCAAGCTAACGTAGATTCATTTCTCATTCTTTTCCCTAACACCCTAAAAAGAAAAGCTCCTTCTTCCCTATAGAAAGTAGCTAGCTTCTTCTTCAAGCCAAGTTTGGGCATTCCAAGATTCTTCAAGTTGGTCTCCAAGATTCAAACTTTCTTAAGTTTGAGCATATAGGAGGGTAAGATCCATGGTCCTTTAGTGTTTTTAGTACCTTTCAAGGTGTCTTTTCTAAAGATAGAATCTTTGTTGTCTTTTGGTGTGTTCTTGAAGTTGGAGTTGAAGGAGAGCCTTAATAGAAGTTTGTAAGGGTGTGATAAGTGAAGGTTTAGGCTACAAGAGGTAACCCATGCTTTACAAAATCTATTTTCTTACCTATATGATGATTTCTTGACTTCTACATGTGATTTTTGCTATGAAATGTGAGATTTGATGCATTGTCTTGTGGGAATGCATATCTAGAGCTTGTTATTAGGGTTCTTGTATGTCATTGCTTGGCTATTCCTTTTATTCAAGTAATATTGTTGTATTTTGTGAGATTTTGGGTGTTTTGGACTTGAATTTGGACTTGATGTTGAAAATCCCCGAAGGGATTATTTTTGGTACAGTAGTGTACCCGTGGGCGGAACGGCGGGTAGTGCACCAGCCGCCACCCCACCCGCGGGGTACGTGGCTTGGGAGGATGGGTTCCCGCGGGCGGAACCACGGGTGGGGGTCCACCCGTGGCCCCACCCGCGGGGTACATGATGGTGATGTTCGGGGATTGGTTCCCCGTGATTCTTTTGACTCGGTAATTGATGTTTTGACTTCCCGATGTTGTTTTGTTGGGCTATTTGAGTGTCTTCTTGATGTTTCATATGTCTAGAACGATATGTTAGGAATCCATGTAGGATTTGGTGTCTTGAATCGTGCTAAGTGTTCAACCTTGTGATTCGTTGAACCATGATGAGTCTTGTACGTTCTTCGGAACTATGTTTGGTTTACCCGTTTGATAAGCATGCTAGTTTGATGTCGAAATGCTAGCGTGTGTGGTTTGTTCTTCCCTTTTATGGATGATAACATGTGTTGATCATCATTGGTGTCGGATTGTAATCCTTCCTTGATTGAGTATGGTTTCATATCTTTGTTGTGATCCATTGACTGATTCCTATGATGAATGTGTGTGTTGGTTGTACCTGGATTGCACGATTAATGGTATGGGACATTAATCACCAAGGTACAGATGTGGTCCTCGTGGTGGCCATGAATGATAATGGAGTTGTAAACTGGGCTTCAGGCTCATGATCTGGGCTTCAGGCTCATGTGATTGGTGGTTGTGTGATTGAAATGTTCGGTACCCTCGTGTACTTTGAGATCGGTGGTTTTGAATTGGTGGATGTTGGAGGGGGAACGACGGTTCCCGGAGGTATAAGGTTGGACTTGGAAGTACAGGGTGGCACTCGGAGGTAAAGGTTGGAACTAGTTATAAGGTTGGGGGTAGCCATAAGGTTGGAACCGGGCATAAGGATGGAACTTGGTATTAGTAACATGTGACATGTAGTGTCACGGTGGCATGTGTTGCCAATGTGTGTTTGTCTATCCTTTTCTGTTGAGCATGTCGAGTGGTATTCTACTTTGTGATCAGTAGAATACACCTCGAGTTTTACTTGTTTGTTGTCGTTGTCTTTGCCGTGATGTTTTCTACTTTGTGATCAGTAGATTATATCTTGAGCGATGTTGAGTTGTTCTGTTGTTGTTCTTATCTTGGTGATGTTTGGGATTTTGATTCCCTTGTTCTTTTGAGAGTGAAATACAGTCTTTGCAGTTGACTTCTCTCTTTACGGTTTTGAACTGATATATACTGTATTCCGTTTCGAAAATGATTTTGTATTATACTATCTACTTATGCTATTGAACGCGTATTGATGGGTTACCAGCAATATTCGCTGACCGGGCGTCGTCCCCTTTCTTTATGTGCTTTACAGGTCCTGAGTATATGGCGAGAGCGTTAGTCGTGGATAGTTTAGATCCCCTCTGAACAGTATAGTTAGTGTTTTGGCCTGTGTGCCACAAATGTTTTCCTGTGCGTTCACTTTGGGGTGAACGTGGAATAACACTCATTGGTTTTCCCTGTTTTATATTAGACTTCCGCTGTGTTTATGTTTTATGTTATATATTGGTTAGTTCGCCTTGCATATTTAAGCTTTAAATTGGCATGAAAATCGGGGGTGTTAGAGTCATAATAATGTCCATATTAAAATCATTTGTAACAGTTACTACATTTTGCATGCAATCATTCTTCCAAATGGTTGAACCTCAACCCTAAGGGCCCCCCACACCCCGGCCCGACAGAGCATTTGGGAGGATGTAAATCATGGTGACTCAACTGAACATGAATCATAGAGGCTAAACCTTTGCTCACTGCGCACAAGGAGCCCCCCTCACTTTGAGAGATTACTCCCACACTGCCGCTGGTGAGACTCAATCCCTGATCATTCTTCCAAAGTTTCACCTCTATGACCAGTTGAGCTACCTATACGGGCATTTTTGCATGCAATCATTATTTTTTTTGAAATTATTATTTAAAAATAATAATTAAAAAAAAAAAAAGGTTTCCCCTTTTTGCCGGTCACCCAAAAATGTTTTTTTTTTAAACTTTAATTTATTATTTTTAAATTATACTTTTTAAAAAAATATTTTAAATTTTGAGTGACCTGTTACTAACCTGCAAAACCTGTAAATTAAACTAATTTAATAAAATTGATTAGTTTATGGACCTAATCGTTAATTTTTTTTTAGGTTCAATGACCTAATTACATTATTGTGTGCAGTTCGATAACCTATTTGACCCTTATTCCTAAATAATTAACTATTTATCAAATGATGAATTATAATTAATAATTAAGTCACTAATGTATAGTATATTCGTACACTTTTTTGATAACGTATATTCGTACACTCAATTGCACTTGTTTAATTTTAAGAAAATCCTTAATTAGCTCAAAGAATTATTGTTGGCACTTCCATAGATTGCATTTATTCTTTAGTTTAAAAAATATAATTTTTAAAAAAGAAAACATAAAAACTAACGAAATTACCAAAAGAAAGAAACAAATCCAACATGTCGGATTCGAACCAGCGACCTAAGGATCTCAAACGGCTACTAACCACTACAGTCCTCCGCTCTACCAATTGAGCTAAGGTCAAATCTGTTATTTAGTTTACAACGAAAGCTTCATAATAGAGATTAAACCGTTCAAAATAGTTCATAACAACGTAATCAGGCCATAACTAAAAAGAACACAATTAACTCTCTAAACAAGTCAAATTTATGCAATTTTTAAATTTTTTTTTAATGCTCAAATTTATGCAATTAAATCAAAAATAATATGTACTTCCGATTTTTTATTGATGGTGGTTAACCTTTAAAAAATCATTTTTAAATTCCATTTTAATAATTTTAAATAAAATAAAATTTTAAAAAAATAAATTAAAAGCCCAACACTTTTTTTTTTTTTTAATACCAATTGGAAGGGGGTGACCCGAATATCCCCTTTGTCTTTGATATTGAGAGAAAGACACTCCAGCAGAATACGAAGAAATATTTTTCGTATCTAGGCTAAAATTGTTAAAATAAATATAAACTTTTAATTTTTAAAATAATAATCGTCATGTTAGTAAAGAACTTAGAGCACATATCACTATAAGTTTAATTGCATGAATTTTTTTATTGAAAGGAAAATGGTTAAATAGGTTCTCGAACTTTATCTAGAAAGTGTAATTACACCCAACAATAATTTATTTTGATGCAATGAAACCCAAGAACTGGTTAATGACTTGCTATCACAGGTCATTAGGGTTCCGACAACTTGCCGGCAAGATTCCGACGAAATTTCAGGCACCAAGTGACCAGCGATCAGTGGTCGCCTTCTAACGAAGAAGGCGACCTTGGTTTCCTCGTGACCGGCAAGGGTCGTCGATCATTTTGTTGCTTGAAATCTCGTCGGCAGGTTGCCAGAACCCTATTGACATGTAATAGCATGTCATTAACCGATTGTTGGGTTTCATTGCATCAAATTAAATTGTTGATCGGTGTAATTGCACCTTTAAAAAGTTTAGGGAGCTAATTGTCTTTTCAGCTAAAGTTTGAGGACCTATTTGACATTTTTCCCTTTATTGAATGACCATTCAATAACTATTTTGACCTTGGGTCACACTTGTGCAAGATTGCCTCAAGGGTCCTTATTCGTGAGACGGATCAAGTCAGGTCGAATCAACATGCAAATTTCATACTTATATGCACAAATGTAATACTAACGAGGAATAATATTTTGTTACTTATAAAGAAAAATGTAATATTTTTACATTTTGATGTAAAACTATTATATTTTCCATCAAAAGTATTACCGAGTACATTTTTTTTATAAGTGCCAAGTGCCCCTTATAAGGAAAATATAATAATTTTGAAGAAAAATATAATACTTTTAAATCAAAATGTAAAAGTATTACATTTTCCCTTAAGTATGACATTTGTGCATACAAATATTACATTTTCATCTTGACTCGACCCGCATCACAATGAGATGGTCTCACACAAGTTTTGCCTTTAACCTTTATTCCAGTAAAATATATTATGTATTTGTATTTATGTATATTGACAAATAATTTAAAAGCTTGATTAAAATTTTTCGATTCCGTGAGATTCATATATTCTTAATTTTCTTTGATATCAAAATAGTGAAACTCGGTTTTCAAAAAAATAAATAAAAAATAGTGAAACTCACCGTGGTAACGGTGGAATAGTGTTGAACGTGAGTAGTGAAGTTATACTCCCATGAACCACATCTATCATTTTCCTTATTTTCATGAGATAGAAAAATGTCTATATCAGGAATTTGAAAATGGAAAAACAACTTAAGAAGTTTGGGAGTCCACAGAGAATTTCCATTTAATGTTCATGCATTGCCATAGCCTAATTAGAGTATTACTTCACAAGCTTACTCTACCATCTTCAACATAAGAGAAGTTCAAACCTCGACAACGACAGTGTGGGAATTATGCTTAAAGTGGACAAATCCCTTATGCGCACTGGCATTTGGCCCTGTCACCGTGATTTACATTCAGGAGAAGAAACATTATAGCAAGCAAATACAACTCCAGAAGTTGAAAGGTCCAACCACTTGAAGAATCTTTGATACTTTGATAGCAATCCCACACACAATGCTTCACAGCTGCCATTGAAATGGAAGAAGCAGACATCAAGAGTATCCCAACTACAGACGATACAAGATAACAAAGCCTCCCGATTTATAGGCTATGCGTGTGTGGACTACATTATGTTCAACCGGAGATGGCATCAACCTTGATGATTCCACAGACTTAAATACTTAATCCCCAGATTCAATTGACAATGCAATGAAGGATTAAAAATTGGCGAAACACTAATAGCCTTCGTCTCGCTTTATCTAACTCACCTCAGCAGGATGTGCAGGTGGCACGAACACCTCTTCCAGAACCTGAGCTTTGCATAATCCGAAGATCAGCACACATGTTCGTTCTGCTCATTAGAACTCGTGGAGAATAGAAACTACTATTAGGAAGGAGATCAAAAAGCAAACATATCATGGCAGCCAATCACCAAAAGATAACACATTCACCATCACATAGTAACTTCTGAGACAACACAAGATAAAAAAAAAAAAAAAAAAAAAAAACATGAATGAACCAAGATGCTACTAATGATTTAGTGAACAAGACTCAAAGTTGTGTTCATGTCCTGGGCATATACAAGTCTAGGGTAACCAACATTACGTAAACTCCATTAATCCACAGTAACTTCTGAGACAACAAGATAAATAATGTGGATGAACCGAGACGCTATTGATCCAGTGAACAAAACTCTAGTGTATCAAAACTTATGTAACTCAATTAATCCCCTAACTACACAATTCTGTACACATGAGAAGTGGTGTCAATGCAAGCATGCTTTAAAAAGACACGACACCATTCAAAATTAGCATTGGAGAATTGGTTGTCAAAAAGCAATGATCTTGCTTTGTCCTTCACTAATTCAACCACTATATGATAACATTCATATTAATGTAATACCTCCAAGAATCAAAAAGCCCTCATAAGTAAAAATTTCTACCAGTGCTATCCAATATTCAAAACCATAAACAGACAAACATGCTTTGTTGCTTGTGACATAAAGATTATACCACATATCACACATCAAAATGTTTCTCAACTGGCAAAACTAGGCTGGAAATGAAGCCAAAAACTCGTCTTGCTCACCATTTTTCACTTTGCTGCGGCGAAAAGCTTACTGGCAATCATGGTGTTATCAAGAAATGATGAATAAGGGTGACCCTCGGGTAAGAGCTCGCGATACATCTGGAAATGCTTCTTGGCTTCTTTATCTTTCCCCAACATTGTGTACATTATTGCTTGATAGAGATATGGCCTGAAATCTGTGGGTTCCTCCTTTACCAATTCTTGATAGACTTTCAATGCCTCTTCATAGTCATATTCAATAGCCCGAATTTGTGCCAATAAGAGCTTGAAATCTCTCAATTGGCCCTTTTTATCCTCAGTTTTGCATAGTTTCATTGCTTTCAGAATCCTCTCCTCAATTCCCTTCAACTCCTCAACTTGATCGTCCTCCGAAACCGCCGTTATAAGCCCGTGATAAGCCTCGACCAGTAAAGGCTCCTTCGACAGAATCTCATTGAATCCCCTTCTCGCCGTTTCAAACTCTCCGGTGAGAACAAACAAGTGGTTTCTCAACAGCGGCCACTCTGTCTCGCTCGGTTCCAGCTCCATCAACCTGTTCACGATGCTAATGGCGTCGCCGATGTTCTGGTTCTGAATCTTACTCTCCACTAGGCTTTGTAACGCCTCGACGTCGTTCGGGTTCGCAGCCAAACGTTCTTGGAGAGCCTTCTCGGTTTCCGCGTCGGAAACCGCCGCCTCTGCGGTGGCCGGAGCTGAAACCGGGGCTGCAATGGAGGGGTTCACTCTGAGGCTAAATCTGCCGAGGAAAACCGCGGCGGCCGCGACGGTGGCGACGACGGCACAAGAAAAGGGTGTTTGAAAATGGGATTGGGTTAGTGTTTCGAGAATTCCCGGGGATGATTTTGCGGTTTCTTGCTTTGCGGGTTTAGGAACGGAGAACTCCGGCGAGAATGACGACGAGGCTTTGATGGGCACATGCTGCGGCTGAGTTGTGAAGGAGAGAGACGAAAGGGGTCGGACTAGAACTGGACGGTGGTTATTGAGAGAAGGAAGAAAGTTAAGGTTTGGTTTTGCAGAGAAATGGGTGAAGGCGTTCATGGCGACAGAAAGTTACAGAGGATACGACTTACGAGTGCTCCAAAACCCCGAGGATTGAGGAAGACGACGATAATGGAGGGTTTGATTCAACCCGAAATCAGAAAAGACGGCCCATATCCAGATGTAAACACGTTTTTGAAATATGAAAATGGAGTTAATTGCGTTTTTAGTCCTCTGAGTCCAAGTAAATATTGCGGACATATACAAATAATTTTCAATTTTAATCAATCATTAACTTTTCTTTGTGTAAATCGTTTACATTAAAGATAAAATTTGAAAGTCATAACCAGTGATGCATCAATTATTTCTCACACGTAAAAAATAAAGTTTTAATTTCCCTTTCCTTAGGGTGGTGCTATTTACACCCCCTTTGACCAAAATGGGGTAAAAAGTATATTGAAAATTTAAAAAGTTAAAAACTTATAATAAATATATAGGTGGTACAAATTGCCTAATGAGTGGTCATAATGCTATTTGCACCACCTTAATTAAATCACATTTGTTAAGTTTAAATAATAATTAATTAATTCAAAAAAAAAAAAATCTCGCCTTCTCCGGTGCCTTCTCACCGGAGAAGGCAACTGGGCTGCCTTCTCCGGTGAGAAGGCAGCCCAGTGGGTTGCCTTGTTGCCTTCTCACGGGAAAAGGCAACCCAGTTGCCTTCTCCAGTGAGAAGGCATGTCCATCGCCTTCTCACCCGAGAAGACAATGGTTTCCTTAGTTTTTTTTGTTTGTTTTTTTTTTTTTTTAAACAACCTACTGGGGTGCCTTCTCACCGGATATTGACGTTGACGGGATCATTTATGCCATCCAAGACGGGAGGAATGAGGAATAGATCGGGCGGGATGAGCGTGTCTTTAGCGAGCCCCGATGGGCGCGTTGTAGGGGGTGGAGTTGCGGGTCTATTAGTAGCTGCAGGTCCCGTGCAGGTATTTCTTCTTCTCGTTCATCGATCCACAACTGCATATCCTATCCCATTCTAAATTACGTCGCTAATAAACTGGCATCTCTCCCTATACTACAACAAGGTTGTCGTGGGAAGCTTCATCGCCGGAAATCAGCACGAGCAGAAGGCGAAGAAACACAAGCCCGAGATAGTAACTGCTGCCGTTCCCATCTCCAGCGCAAAGATGGAAGATCCTTACCACGCCTCGCCCAGACCAATCATGTCGTCTGCCCCTTCGTTCCGCGCAGATAACTGGTCCGCGTTGCCCCAACCGGCAGACTCTAGGAATAAATCCACTAACATCAATGTCACACTGCCTGCATAAGGATGAGTATTTTTTGGATAGTAGGTGTAGATGGATAAATCATCCATATCATAAACCGTGCATGATATATCAATGAACATTAATTAACACAATATCGGAAAAGGAAAAAAATAGTTATTCACGACCAGGCCTGGATAATGGAAACGACATCGGAAGTATGGGTGACAGTGTATGATTTGAATCCAGCGGCAGTAAGAACGTGCGACCATTGTTTTTCAGTCCTTTCCAAGCCTTTCTCAGTGTGAGCCATCATCACCATATCTAACATCAACCACACTTCATAACTATTATTATTATTATTATTAATATTATGGTCTTTCTCCTGCAGCTTTGAATTCTTAGTGTTGGTGTTGTTCTTCAGCTTCATCCTAGTGCCTTGATAATCATTGATCATTTCCTGGTGATCCGTGAGTATTGCCTCCGCTATTATCACTTTCCCAGTTTCCTCTGGAATTGCCTCTCTGCACTTGCTCAATATCTGGATGCACTCTTCGTCTCCCCAATCATGCAACACCCACTGCACGTACACGATCGATCGATCAGCCCCAGCCATGAGGAAATTAAATTAGGGTGTGTTTGGAAACCTGGAAAATGAGTTCTGGAAATCATTTTCCAAGTTTCCATTGTTTGGATGTGCCTGGAAAATCAAGTCAACGGAAATCATTTTCCGTTGACTTTGGAAAATAGGCTTGTTTTGGAGGAAAATGACTTCCCCTTTTTTTGGGGAAGTCATTTTCCAACTTTTACACCAACATCACACCACCACCAACACCATACCACCACCACCTCGCTACCACCATCACCACCACTACTGCTGCCGCCACCACCACTATACCACCGCAACCACCGCCACCACACCACCACCACTACCACCACCAACACCATACCACCGCAACCACTACCACCACCAACACCATCAACACCATACCACCACCACCGTTGCCACCACCATACCACCGCCACCACACCACCACCATCACACCACCACCACTACCACCACCGCCGCCGACACCACCACCACCATACCACCGCAATCACCGTCGTCGCCGCCACCACCACCACTACCACCACCGTCACCGCCACCACCACCACTATACCACCACCGCCGCTACCACCACCATACCACCGCTATCACCACCGCCACCACCACACCACCGCCGCCGCCACCACCACGACCATACCACCGCAATCACTGTCGCCGCCACCACCACCACCACTACCATCACCGCCTCCACGACCATAATATGTTTAAAATTATTATTATATTATTATATATTATTATACATGTTGTAATATTCTAAATAAAATAATTTAAATGTTTAATTATACAATTCTACTCATTTTCCAGAAAATGAACCAAACACAGAAAAACAGTTTTCCAGAGTGCAACCAAACACTGGAAAGGAAAATGTTTTCCGGAAAATGACTCATTTTCCAGAAGTCATTTTCCTGCTTTCCAAACGGACCCTTAAATTAAAACATCCAAATGATGAAACATCGGGGAAGGCGATGGTTTCCTTCGTTTTTTTTTTTTTTTTTTTTTTTTTTTTTTTTTTAAACAACCCACTGGGGTGCCTTCTCACCGGAGAACTGGAGAAGGCAGTCCTTGCCTTCTCACCCGAGAAGGTGACGGGAGGTTTTGTTTGTTTTTTTTTTTTTGTTTTTTTTTTTAATATTTTTAATTTAAAAAAAAATGAAAAACAAATAATAATCTTTGACCATATTTAATGCTGGTGGTGTAAATAGCAAATTTGCATTTACACCACCTATAAAGCTATTTGACCTACTAAATAGGTGGTGTAAATAGAATTTCCCTTTCCTTATCCTAACAACTATAAATGCACCATCAATGTCAACAATTCACACAATGAAAAGTTTACAATGGGTTAAAATTAAGTAAAAAAGAATTCAAAATTTAGTTAAGTTTTCGCATATGCATACACTTAAAATAGATAATAGGCAAATGAGTTATTTATTCTTAAAGTATGCCCATGAAATTAGTAAAATGGAGTTTTGAAAGGCTTTAAAAGAGTCTTTGTTTTGTATTGAAAAAGTATGTGAGTTTGAACTATTATATTATAATAAATACATTTCAACTTTTTTAAAAGTTAAAAATATGTTGGTAGAAGACTCTTAACGTTTAGGGGGAAATTAAAATCTCCTTATGTGCACCCGCTTGGGCACACTTAAATGTTCATCCAAAAATTGGTAAAACAAATAAGTTACTCTGTATTTTATATATTATAAATATATGAAATCATGGACCAAACATATAATATTTTGACCATTTAAATCATACAATTAATTGGCCCAATTATACATGAGTACAATCGTTATGCATTGCAACCGTGTGTACCATGCATGGTGCACGGTTGCAAAACGACGTCGTTTCATTTAAAAAAAATCTCGTTTGAATCGTCGTTAATGGCGTTAGGCAGTTTTTTTCGTATTCAAACAGTAGGATATATCCATACTTTCATAATTATATATCTAGAATTACATAACTATATGTCTAGAATTACATAATTATATATTCATAATTTAACAACGGTACATTCAGAAATAATAACTACACATTCATAATTTCATATCCATATATTCATAATTTACAACTAGACATTCATATTTACATAACTCCATATTCAGAATTCTTAAAGTGCTTGTTCACAGAGAACCATATCCATAATTGCATAACTACACATCCATAACTTCAAAACTATATATACATAACTTCATAATTATATATCCATAACTTCATAATTATATATCCATAACTTCATAACTATATATCCATAACTTCATAACTATATATTCAGACTTGCATAACTATATATTCATAATTACACGTCGATTAGAGCTTTTGTAAAAAAAAAAAAAAAAAAAAAAATTTATTTCATTGGTGGAGTTAAATGATGCCACTAATGATATCGTTACCCCATCATAGTAAACGGTGTCGTTTTGCAACCGTGTGCACCATTTGCGTACATGAGTACATGACTCAATCAATCTAACAGTCAAAATGTTAAAATCTACATCGTTTCATCTATTTTCACCAATCTTCTTCCATTTTTACTGAGATCTTAATCGGAATTGATCACTGTTCACCACAATTTCTTCTCACCAATTTCTTCTATTTCCGCTAAGATCTTGATTCAATCTCTCGTCGTCACCACCTTCCTTGTATGTAATTCTATTCTATTTGACTTGTTACTTTTAGTGTTGCACATGTATAGAAAGCAATTCATAGATCTCTAAATGATTTTTACCATTTCAGACAAGTGAATTAGTTTCCTTCGAGAAAGATTGAATTTCTCTTCATCGTTCACCTTCTTTTAAAGTTTCAAGGTAATTCAACTCTAGCTACTTCGCTTGCATTCTAGTACGGGTGTAAAGAGCAAACACAAGATTGGTAAGGATGTCTACTACAACGCTTTGATACCCAGACAACAACGCTTTGATAATAGTGATGATCATACATCCACGTTTATAAGCAAAATATTTATATGCGACCCTAAACATGTACATATACAAAATTACTTATGTACTATACCATAGGGGCATTGGCCCCGCACCCCTGACCCGCTCTAATACCCAATTCGCTTTATTCCGTCCAACACCTATTATCCTCCAATACATATAAGACATACACAACATATTGCACTTACATTACTTTTATAATCCCCCCCATTGAAGTTGTTTCCTCCCACGAATATTGATTTTGTTTTTGTTTGTTTGTTTGTTGTTCACCCTTCCTTTTAGGTAATTCTACTCTAGCTATATCACTTGTATTTCTTTTAGTCTACCTTATATATACATAGAGCAAACCCTAAATCTGTAAGGAATTTTACAATTTCAAGCAAGTGATTTTTTTTTTTAATGAAAATTGAATTTATCATCATTGCTCACATTCTTTTTAGATAATTATATTCTATTTAATTTTTCACCACTTATAGTCTTATACAAGTATAGATTGAGAACAAACAGCAAATCTACAAGTGTTCAAGGCTTTGATGGGTTGTCAAGATTGGAAAGGATACATTTGGATTGGTCTTTGATCACTGCATTGGTGGAAAGATGGCGCCCAGAAACGAACTCATTGTTTCCAACTTCCATTTGGGGAATTGAAGTCACCATCACATTGCAAGATGTGGAGATTCTTTTAGGACTGCGCACCCGCATTGATGGCACAGACTGGAGCACTAGCTAGGCTCATGAAATAGTTGTTAGAATGGGAAAGGCGTGACGAAGAAATTGTTGTGGCTGATGATGATAATGATCAAACGTGGTTAGAAGAATATATGAGATGCTATAGCTTGATTGCACGTCATGTCATTACCAACCCAGTCCACTGTCCTGAAAGAGGATTCATGCCTTTAGCGTCAAAGCTAGAACACTTGGTAAGTTAGTTAAAATTGAATTGAAGTTGTTTTAGTGCAAGGATGGTGCAGTGTTTGTGCATCATACTGAAGGAAATACTTGTCTTGTAGGAAAGGTAATGTACAAGTATGGACAAAAAGGCATACCCAAGTTAGTGAGGAAGTTTGAGTTAGTAATAAATATTATATTGTGACCATATCTTCTTGTCTTGCTGATAAGGAAATACCAAAAAGGTAGAGATTGATTTAATCTTTGGTTGAACAAATGGTGACAATACTGGAGAAAATGAATTATTATTGTTACAGGAATTAATGGCACTTGAATAGGGGAAATGCATGGAGGCTATATGGGAGAATTATATATGTTCACTTAAAACTTCAGTATCATTGAGGACAAGGATCAAGTTGAGGCCTTGAGGGGAAGGGAATTCTGCTATGTTCTTGAGGTTAAATTTCAATTTTTTTTAGTTGTTTGACATGCTAGTCTGATCTACTCTGCTCAATATTTTTAATTTTTAGTGTACAATCAATCTGCTCACCTTCATATTACATCCAATCAATAGATTTTTTCAACCAAATTATTGATATTATATATAGATTACAAAATCCACATAAGACTTTTATCAAACACA